GCAAAATTACCAAAAACAGGAGTTATATCCTTGCTCCGATCTGCGACCTGAATTTCTGACTATCTTGCGAAGGCACAAAAGAAGCAGCGCCTTTCTGACGAACAAGCTACTACTCTCGACAATACAATGATGCAAAAGCGAATGGCGTAGCAGTTACTGAAATGCCAGAAATCCATTGCCTGATTAAGTGACCTCTTTGAACAACAGAGGGCAAGTGGTCTGCGCATCATCACCCTGAGACCAGGTCTTTGAAATGTTAGGAACGTGTACAGTCCTCTGTCGAACGTATTCTGGACAACATTATTGTGATGTGCATTAACAATGATCACAGCCTCTGAGGTTTTGAAATATTCAACCTTCGCGTCCGTTCTGTTAGGTTTTGGCACGGACAAATGATTGTAGATGTAATTAACGAATGGAAGAACTTACTCTGAGTAGCGGGCACGCATTCGTTTCCGTCTCTGACGTATCCGGAGACACATTTGCAAACGCGGTCGATGCAAGCGGAAAACAATACCCGACACGGGTTGAATGTGGATTCAGTGCAGCGCTGGCCCAGGTTCAGATAACCTAAGCAGTTCTTCATAACAAAAGACGAATTTTACTTACCTTCAAAATGCTACCTGAAACCTGCAGGCAAATACCAAACTTGCAAACCTCGTTCTTTGGGCAAAACTGCGAAGCTGCAGGATCACACTCGCCACCGGTACCCGGTTGGGCTGCTTTGCATTTTCCACGAATGCACAACGCCTGTCCATGGCACTGTTTGTGAGTGTGGCAGCGTATTCTACCTTGAAAATGATTAGCTGCAACACAGTCCGCAAACGTCCGGATAAATAGAGGTGTTGGGTTTGGCAATCGAAATTCGCCAAACAGTAGCGGACCCGTGTATCAGGTTCTCAAAGTAAAACAGAAGGTTACAAAAATGAGGGTGGCCTTGTATTGCAAATTGGTTGAGTATCAAACCTTAACCCGAGCTAGCGAGTTTATCCATATGAGTCGGCGTATCATCGTCGCTCAAACTATCGGTACGAAACATGACGTGCATGAGGTATGGCGTAAATGGGGATCAGTCATTCAGAGTCAGTTGTTGCCTAAGCAGTACTGCATATACTGAGTTACAGCAAAATGCTGAGTAACTGATAATGCGCCATCACTTTCCATCCGATACTGCAACGGCAGATGTTCAAGCTGATGACCGTTTACTCGTAGACCGATTGTTTCAGCGGCCTTCGCGATTACATGTCTTCGACTTATCACAAGCATTTTGGTTGATCGTACCGATGTATCGCAGGGTGAACTTCTTGTTTAAAAGGATTAATAGTTAATTAGCAGGGAACAAGTTGTGCTTAGAAGTCAAACTTAACAGAATGTGTGTAGTTCGTGATGTCCGATATATTTGCAAATTTTCAGCACGTTAGGTATAAGGTACCAGTTACTGCATCACACACGAATTCTCTGCGAAAACAGATATGGCTCTAACTTGTTCCTCAGTGTTGCATGCTGGCCTCCTAATCAGCACCTACTGTATTTCTGTTCCCACACGAAAAGCTCATAGGTTGCAATAAATGGCTTATGTTCAATCAGTTTTTCTAAGCTATTCTCTTCTTCGTAACCTTCACATCTACTGAGGTCAACATTGCCGGGTAAGGAAAACTAGCAAACCGCACGCGCTGCTTCCATTTAACCCTCATTATGCATTTGGTTGCTGCATGCAACTCAACCGTCGGTATTGAACCTTTGTTAGAATAGTTACCTCCATATTGTACAATAACACTAAAACCTTGACGAAGTAAAATACATGCGTTTTTTTGAAAAGAGTACTCTTTATCAGCCCAATTATTGGGAACGTTATCAAAAGTACTCCAGACTAGAGAGACCTCTAATTTAACTCTCACTGGAAGATGCCTCGCTGAAGATGATGGAGCTGAGGTGTTTAAAATGGTCAATTTCTTGAAACGCTTCACCTCACTGTTCCGCTCTCAGATCATCTTTGCTCGACGGGTTCCTTATAATTATTGCCTTTGGGACTTAAAGAAGACGTCTGTTTTCACAGTTGTGTTGCATCCAGCGTTATAAGCATGCAGCGATACGGTCGGTTGTACGATGTAATGCGAATGGAGTTGCCTATTTCGACAGTAGTGCATCTCATTTTCAAATGATGATCAGTCGCAAAGCGGCTGATTGGGTGAATCATGAGCATAGCAGACCAAATGTTCAGACTGCTGCATCTGCATAAGTTATGCACATATCCTCTTGTTTGGTCATAAGTGCAATCCCGGATACAAGTGGCAGAAACTAACGTTTGTGAGATTGATAGGTTGATGAGATGGTAAAATTCGAAAGACCTTAGTTGGATATATCCTGGACTGTCAGCTGCTACTTTCTGGTCGAAAGATCGCAATGGCGATGGCTTGGACGTGTTAGAAGAATGTCGCATGGGAGGTTCGCGAGATATACTATCTTACCAAGACCACAAGGAGAACAACGCAGAGCAGATCACGGAGCAGATAGCTCAATCACATAGAAGAACATATATTGTCACGCCTTGTACCCAGATCAATGAGCTTTTCCGTTTGAAAGCTACCACCGTAGCTCGCAAGAACTTGAAAAATGATTTTTTTGTTGACTGCTCAGTAGATATGCTGAAATGCATCTCAAACAAGATAGTGGAGCGAATAAACTATTAATGTCGACAACTACAGCAAATGGTGCTTCACGAAAATAAAATACATTACGCGTCGCTGACGAAATCTGTGGTGACATCCAGCAGTGGGAAAAAACAGACCAGAAGTGTAAAAC